TTGAAAATAGCAATAATCTATATACATATATATAATGTATAATAATTGAAATGTGACTGTATTTTACAAAATACTAGTTACTAAAACACAGTCGAGACAAGTTACTTTGTACAGACCAAAGGTCACCTTTATGTTATTTGATATGGTGACAAGAGTGCACGTGAGCCACATCATTGTAACTTCTGTATTGTTAGTCAAGCATGAGTGAAAGGTCAATATAATAAAAATAATAAATATATATGTATAACATTATGAGATTTAAGCTATTTAGTCTAAACATTTATGTCTTCGTGTTATAATCTGTGTTCATTCTAGAATGAAAGAGGCATAATTTATGTTTATTTCCTAATTTTTTATGGTGGTTGCGAGATTGGTCAAATGATAGATAGGCAAGACATGAAAAAAAAGCCATGAAAGAAACATTGCTTTACAAACCTTAAGAATTAATAAATAAATTGGAAATTTTGCATATGAAAGCATTTTAATGTTTATTGATAATCTGCCAAATTTCCTTACCACTCGCTAACTAATTTAAAATTTATAGCATGAAAACTATAACAAGCGCAAAGTGGTTACTGAAAGAGTTAACAACAGACTTGTATGATGTTTTATGCATAAGTATAGATTAGTGTAAGATATATTTTTGTACTTACAGCACTGTTAGTTTAATGGCCCTGCTTATAATATTTTCTTTAGAGCACTTACAATCCTTCTTTTTTATTTCACTTCATCCAACCTTTTTTAATTGTTGTGAAATTTGCATTTTACCACGATATCTGGTTTTTAGTTTTTTGTTTTCTTCATCTCTATTGTCTTTTTTTTTTTCATTTATGTTTGAATTTAAATTTCAGTTGTGAACATGCATACTAGCTTTCAAGGCATGTAATTGTTTTTTATGTACAGATTTATCAAATTAGTAGCTTTGTGTTCATTTTAAATGTTTTATTTAGTGCATGGGTTTTGACAATTACCCTTACAATTTTAAGTTTGTAGTTTTTTTTTTGCTTTGTTAAGCTTTTTTTAGTATTAATTCCTCCTTCCCCGGGCCTTTTTTGCACTTTGCATGACACACACACACACAATTTATTCATCAGGCAGAATTTCATCATGCACAGATGCATGACCCCAGTATGCAGGAAGAGAGTGTAACCCTGCTGGGAGAAGAGGGACTGAGAGCTGGTGGACAGGCTCTTAAACTAGGGTAAGCATTTTGTTTAAAGAATATGCATATTTAATAGTGTAATTTTATTCCAGATATGTTTTAAGTACTAATATACCTTACTTCTTAGTTTAGTTGTTTCACTACTTAAAATTTAACCAGTATATCTATTCATTACAGTGGGTTTAGTATTTTTAAGAATCATAATTATTGTGTAGTTTGTGTAAATTAGAAAATCAGATGAGTATAGTTAAATATTAATGTTTATATTATAATGATGATCAATGAGTAATTTGTTCAACTTATTGCAAGATTCTATGCAAATGTTGATATTATAAAGAATAACACTTAACAGGTTGTGAAAATCTGGTTAACTTGCATTTTCATAAGAATGCACATGTATACCACAGAATGGAAAAAGCAAACTTGCTTGTTTCATCAAGAATGTAGGTCTTTGGCCTTGAAGAAACATTAGTGATACTCAGTGTAAATTGTTTTCTTTGTCATTATGTAAGAAATGTTGTGTAGGCTTCTTTTTTGGAAAAGATAAAATGCTTTCTTTGAGTACAGAGCCCAGAAGAGGGAGTTTAACCCTATGATTTGTTGAGTGCAATTCTCGTGGTTTAGATGGCCTTTATTCTCCTTGTAGTAATTCTAATAACAAACTTAATTTCAAGTGAAGAAGTCATTAATTAATTTTTCTTAGTAATTTTTAATTCCAATTCTAGTGTAGTTAAATACATTTCCCCTTTATGAAAAGTTTGTGTTGATCGCTTTTCGAAGTGTGACATAATATGGTTAATATTATAATGAAATATAGACTGTAAAAATCTTTTCTCTTTTGATTACCCTCTTTCAGTTTCTTTTAATCATGAATGGTATTTAAGGTTAAAATGACTGTAACTGGTTCATGTATTGCAAAAATGAAAATATTTCATATATTAATTGAGAGTTTCTAGAGAAAGAAATTCAACTGGAGCTTTTCATGCATCTACATGCCAATGTCTTCAAATTCAGTCTTAGGGTAATTTTTAATAAAATCAGTGATAAGAACGTTCCCATCATTCTTAATATGTGAAATATAGGCAGTAAATTACATTTGTCATAATATCAATTTTTATTTTTTCAAACACATGCCTTTGAGTATGATATGCCACAGCCATGTATGTTTTTAATAGTAGTTCAAAACATGCTTTTTTTTACTTTTGTTAAATGTGAATTGTTGATTAACAGTGAAATGCAAATGTCATAGAATTGAAATATATTGCTATGAAAGTAGAATTTTAAAAATTTGTACATAATAAATCTTCAGTTTTTGACAACATATTAAATGAATTATAAAACTAAATTTCTACCTACTTTGCAGTTTGCACCAGCCGCTTATCAGCCACTGCCTCAGAAGTGATAAAAAGCCTCCCCATTGGTAAAAATTATAGGTAGACTACTACTTTGGCCAATAGCAATATTGAGAAACACATATACAACTATTAATGACACAAGGAGAACTTTCATGATTGTAATATAAGCAGTTGAACAGTTATTGGGAATAGATAGAAAGTATTGGTAATGCATAGCATACAGTTTTTTAAAGTTGGCAGTGCACATTTACTACCATGCATTATTCACATTATGCCCCTTTATACAGTGGTTTTAAAGTTGGCAGTGCACATTTACTACCATGCATTATTCACATTATGCCCCTTTATACAGTTTTTTAAAGTTGGCAGTGCACATTTACTACCATGCATTATTCACATTATGCCCCTTTATACAGTGGTTTTAAAGTTGGCAGTGCACATTTACTACCATGCATTATTCACATTATGCCCCTTTATACAGTGGTCTGTATAATAATGCTTGGAGACGACTTGAATGGGTAATGAAGAAAAAAGTTTAATATAAGTTTAACCTAACAGCAAATGTACAATGTTTCAACAAGGTTTTGTCATCGTCGGGTTAGTGGTTAGTATGTTATATTAAAATACACCACGTTGTTACAGCCCATGTTGACATGTCAAGTCATACTTTATCTGACAAACTGCATATTATACCTTAAAAAAACAAAAACAAATTGTGGGTGAGTAAGCTAGACTTATATTAAATAATTCTGCAATTGTGATTTTCCAGTATGCATTAACTCCATAAGTCTTTTGTTATATGTCTTTTTGTTAATGATATTAATGAATAAAGTTACTATTCAAACAAGTAAGTCTGAAATGCTGAAAGCCTTTTCTTGTTCAGTTGCTCCCATGTTGTCAACAATCATGAAACTCAAAGTTCTGAATATCCTTAATTCAGTGCAGAGCATGCATCAACTTACCCACAATACTCCACTCACCTTCCATGTGACTTATTGTGCTTGCATCAGGAGATCTTGCACAACTCTTCTTTTGTGAGAAAATCCAGATTTTCTTGTTGACTTTCCTGCTGCTAACTTCAGTCACAATGAACTCTCATGTCAACATTCAATAATATTGCATATTTTCCCACCAGTATCAGAAATTCTATGCCTTTCTTGGAGTCCTTACTCATGTAGTCTGCCTCTAGTATTTTGGCCAAAATTATTTCATATCTCACTGAATATATAGTTTCTTTTGTTACTTACTTTCTTCAGGCAGGAAAGGAACATTCATGCTTGATGCTTCACATACTTCTTTTTTTTTTTTCTTGGAAGACTACACTTATAATTTGATAGAACTTTCCTACTAGAGACTTGTAATGTGAGAGAATTGCATTGTACGGTTAATCCATCTTATCTATCTTGATGCACCTGCACACCTATAAAGTGAATTTCAGGTTGCATCTCATCAAATTCACTAATTGGTAATGTCTTTGGCTTTTCAGTCTCTCTACCCATTAGAGGACACCTTACAGACAGACATATGGGCAAATTCACTTAAATAACTACAACTCTTTTACATCACATTGCTTTCTCTTCAGCTTTGTATTACATTTACCACCTACAGTTATTCTCCATTTCAGGTGAAATCTATAGAATGTCAATTATTCTCTGTTAAGTGCTTATTTATTGTTTGGGCCCATATGTATGTTGTGCATGGTGACCCAGTTATATTTATTCTGGAGTTGAGACATTGTTTGATTGAAAAGATGAATATCACCTTAAGAAATCCTATTGTTATAAAGTTTATTATAGCCAATACTTTAACAAGGTCCATACTTACCGTGCCATTTCTCATCATCTATATAAACCCAAGAGCTAGGTAAGATTTATCTTATGTTTGAGGCCAAAAGATTTGAAAATGTTTTGGGGCACAAAATATTTGCAATTTCAAAAAGTGATTTCTCACCTTCAGCACCCTGAATGATATTTAGCCATTGTGTGCTAAATAATGGCACAATCATGAAATTTTAGCCAAAGTTTAGTTACTGTTTATGATATGTGTGGCCCATCAAAAATTTAGTATTAATATTTAACCTATTCTGTTTCTTTCTACCTTATACCCTACAAAGCAAAATAAGATAGTAGCATGCTCAAACATTTTTTTGCAGTTCTTAGTTGAAGTTGGTCATAAAAATTGTGATTGTCACAACAGTGTAAGGCCTGTTATGAATAAAACCTTTTTTTATTTGTACATTTAGATGGTTTGCCTATTTAATATTTATAAGTACATTGTTAACTAGGTATGTTTAGATAGTTTGTACCATACATATCATTACTATTAGTAATATATGATTCATTGTTCTATCTGAATAATGTTATTTTCATTGTTAACTATGTGCCTTATCCTAATTTTTATCAGTGTAGGACTTAATTATGTGTCCTTTGTCATGTAGGTTAATTAGATGACTGGTAAGTTGGATATTAATTATTAATGTGTTTTCTAAGTAATTTTAATCAGCTTGCACGTTCATTATTACATACTTTGTGGACTAGATAAAATTAGATGGTTTATTCGTTTGATACTTATCAGTCCTTTGTTAACTGGGTATATTTCAACAATTTGTATGTTACATATCATTACTACTAGTAATATCTAATTCATTATTTTATCTGAATATTTTTTTTTTCTTGTAATTGTTAACTATGTACCTTATCCTAATTTTTTTCAATGTGGGACTTGAAATTTTTGCTTTGTTACACTGCTGATGTGTATGGCTGATCTTGGCTTTGGCTCCTTTTCCTGTGTTCGTGATCATAAGCTACAATTCAGAGTTCTTCCCCCACATTGTTCACTTTGTCAGTAGTTATTTGTTGCATTAAGTTGAGTTTTCCAGTTCAGGGTGCTACCTTGTGAATTAACCTTGGTTCTTTTTTAAGTGTTTTGCTTTAGGGTACAAATTCTTGCCCAACATCTTCACTCTACGAGTCTTTGCTCTCTTCCTTTTATGAATGACTGACTCCTGCTTGTTTCCTCCCTCCCGTTCACAGTCCAGAGACCACACTCCTCTACTTCTACAGAATGCAGGATGAGTGGGACTCCTGATGATAGGGGGGAGTCCATTCTTATCCCCTCTCAATATCCCATATATTTTTTTGAGGGAGTCTTCTTTCCAACCTCAGATGAGCTCAGACTTCTGCTCATAGTCTTCAGGTGTAGAGCGAGCAGTTCACACATCCCTCACCTTTTCTTACGGCTTGAGATGTTCTATCTCTTTGGGGATGTGGGCTTCCTTGGAAGCTTTCATTCCCATGGGTTGTGCTCATATAAGTTCCATTTGGATCAGTGGAACTTCTCCTTGGATCACTGGCTTGGTGATTAGACAGAGTCCAGACCTCTGTAGGGGTGCTGCTTACTCCAACTCATCTAGATTTACATCTGTTTACAAACTCATTTTTAGAGGGTTGGGGTTCTGATGTGGACTCCCAGGAGATTTCCGTTCTCTGGTCGACCAAGGAGTTTTCTTTCCATGTCACCTTTTTCTAGCCTTTAGCAGTTTGTGGAGATTTGTCCCACTTTCTTCCTCCCCTATAGGGTGGGGGTGGCTATGGTACATTCTAACATCTCCATAGTGTTCGCTTATATCACAGAGCCAGGGTGTACCAATTCCAGATCTCTGTGCTGACATATTCTGGATGTACT